TCATATATTGTATTATAAAACAAGAGGCAGCAGGCATTAACAGATGTTCAAAACTCATAATCATGATAAACAAAAAGAAAAAAAACGAGGGAAAACGATGAACTCCAAATGGAGCGAGACCGGAAGCGTCGATTTAACAGGCGTGCATTACCGCCTTGGAAAAACGTGTTTTAAAATAGTAAGTTAAGTTTTCTTGATAATTATAGTGAGACCTAAGGCTTTATCTCAAAGACTTTCAACATAATTATCATTATTATGATCTTTCATGCAGTCTAGACATTTCATCCTGTGCACTCATGATTTTGAGGAAATACTTCTATTTATGTCGCTGATAGTATCGTGCCGATCTTGCTTAAAAATATATAACGACTTATGCATTAGATGTGTGGTTGATGTAAAACATATTTCTGGAAATTTCATTTCTTTGCTATACAAAATTTCTTGGAATCACTTATAACACTTTTTCTGAATTTTCCTAGAAATGAAAAATTATTTGTAGAGACGTTTGTATTTATATAGCATCCTGATATTTTTTTGTAATTATCAAAACATAGAAATGTAAATTTCAATTCATTTCATTAATGTTTCCTTGACTGATTACTTGCTTGACTTTAATTTGTCTTTCACACTCCATAACAACAAATCCGCTTTAAAATGTAAAAATAGACGTACACGTATACGTGCATAATTTACTTTGTATTACATAAAACTTTATTTTTCAAATCAAAAGGTTGATATTGTAGTGAAGGTGTCATTTTTATTTTGATATAAAAATAATGAATTGTCTGGGTTTGGCTTTACTTTTGATCCCTTTTGGTTTTGTCTGCTCTTTGTATTAGGTTTAGGACTTTAAATATTTTGTCCTTGGGCATTACTGAAGATATATTAATTGTCGAAATGCACATCTAGTGCAATAAAATTGATACCTTTAATGAAAATTAACATGTCTTGAGCAATATAACAAATGACACTAATGAAGCATTAACGCGCGACGACCAGGATGATGACAAAGTGATGACAAGGCAGCTTATGATGACCCAAATGTGCCATGCAAGCTAAAAATAAATTAAGTTTAACTTACAGCTTAAAAATGATCACACCACATATTCCATATTCGCAAATAAAATAATCAATAGTTTTATGACTTTTGGAAAATGAAAGTTCAGTTTCGCTTTCTTTTGATTTATTTTACGATAAAATTAGTGCATGAAGTAAATTAGAACTTTATGATAAAACTACTTAACATATAGTTAAAATGATAACAAATAATAATACCTCCATTCTCAGCTTATGACAATTAACAACCTTTTCCTTAACTATTTCGTCAGATCTATTTTCAGTTCGTGTAGAAAATTTAAATATATATAGATAGATAAGAACTATCTTTGTTCAAGATTATAATTTGAAATAAATATATTAACCTAATATTGAGATGTTGGGATGATTGCCAATAAGACAACAATCCATGAGAGTCAAAATAATGTGGTTGTAAGTACCATGTTCTGAATAATTTGAATATTTACTTACAAAAATGATGCCTTTTTACTTCAGACCTGCATATTTGTCTCATCATCAGTTTTGACTTCTGTAGCATTTGTTAAAACGATAAGCATATTTTTTTATTTTTAACAAAACTTACGTATAAAAAGATAAAGTAACTAAATTATTGTTATTTCGTACTGGAAAAAACCCGTAAAATTAAGTTGCTGTATTTTTCCAGCTGACTTGGTTTTTTTTATAGACTTCCTTATTTGCTTAATATCCACATCGTAATGTCCCCTACAACCTTATTACATGCTCAATAAGGTATGAAACTGGCAAATAATATACTTTTAGGTCATGTATCTAAAAGCATGTACTAATGTTACTGTCAACTGTTCCCTCCTGTAGAATACAACAAACCTTCCCAATATTTGTTGTTAAGTTTAATCATTATACTACAATCTCAGTCTTCACTTTTGAATCCACAAGCCCAAAGCTTAATTTTACGAAAATTTTAGTTGAATTCTGTTGGCTTGTAGAGAAGAATTTTACAAGACCGAAAGCAATATTACAAGCCTGGGTTTATGGACTTGTGGTTAAGCGTATAGACTGCAATCTGAGCTCATTTGTAATCATAAATATGGACAACAATGTTACCAAGTATCATCTATTCAAAGATTATTAACAGACCGGCAAACAGGGGATTCCTATATACACAGTCATTGGACAAAAATGAGTTCCCAGTAAAAGACCTATTGTATCTATTTTATAAAAATCGGTCATAAAGTTACTGGGTAATATTTTTTTTTGAAAAATATCGATTTTAGTTGAAATGATAGGACATTTCTTGCGTGGGAACTCACTTTTTTCCTATGCCAGGAAATACAGCAACTGGACGTCATAGGTCAAACGTTGACGTCATTTGATTTATGACGTCACGCCAGGTATGCGATACGGATTTAGCTATGCGATACGGGGTATGCGATACGGGTTGAGCTATGCGATATGGGGTATGCGATACAGGGTAGGTGATACAGGCTGGAAAAAAGAACCTTTTAGTTTAGATATACAAAATTGCTGCATTTTGTACTAAATATATGATAAATTGATATATCTTTTACATTCGAAATAAGGACGTCCTTGTCAATTTTCAGATTTTTTACTTTTTCAAATCCCTATAAAATTAAGTAATGTCTATTTTTATACACAAAGTTTTTAGCAAGATTGGTCTGTTTAGTTCATGCTTAATTAACCACTTTGATCAGAGGCCTTTAAATTAGATTCAAATACCGCTAATTGAAAACATCCCACCCTTAACATAAAAGAATAAATAAAACAGTTATATATCCTGTTGTAATTATTCTGCGAATGTCTTGTAAATGTTTTTTGTTCATCAGAGCACATATTTGGTCTTTCATTTACGATACTATAAGCCGTGAAGGAGGTAGGATCAATTTCTATTGAATCAATTCATTGTTAAATAAAACCTTTCAGTTATTTCAAACACCACCCTAACACAGCTTCAAGAGTGTACTTACAGTTCTCATGTCATTAGACATCTAATTTAACATGTAATCAAGTGAAAATACCTAATTATGACCAAAATCTTCAATTTTGAACGATTCGTGGAAATTTGAGAATAGACCTTTATAAAAAAAAGAAAACGTAAAGAAAATACCGAGCAAGTTCCCAAAAACAAACTTTCGTCTTTCGGAAACTTATTTATTCGTTTGGTCCTGTGTCTGTCTATGCAAAATTGTACAAAAACATGTTAAATTTGTTTTATTTCAAATCAAACGTCTTCAACAGCATTGCATAGCACTGAAAAACTGCAATATTTTAAAAAAAAAATGTGCATGACACCGAATAACGCTATGCATATAAAGTTCTTGAAAATTTGTGTATTTATGTTATTTCAAATTCTACTAGAAGGTTTAATCGACTTTCCTATTTTGACTTTGTGAAAAGGGGACATGAAGACAAGTTTTAAGTAAATTTAACAGAGACTACCAATGATTGCCATCAATAAAAAAATATTTAAACAAAACACACAAAGAAAACGAAGGACAAGGTTTTTGACATGGAACAGATACATTAGCATGTGAAGGAGTTAAAGTGAGTTTTGAATCGTTCTCTGTTTTTTTTATCTCGACCAGTTAAATAATAAAAGTACAATAAAAAAGATTGGAAAAGACAGTTAGCCTTATAACATCGATAAAACCGATGACAAATAAGTGAAACATTACTAATTTTTAGCTCACGTTTACTGAAAGCAGGCTCACAGTGTGTTTCTGTTTACATATAATGTATGCATGAGGCCAACTGTTCGATTACTAAATTTGACGTCATCAATGTTTATGGTCACGGCATTTATTGAAACCAATATTTATATGCCATGCACATGTTTGTTTGGGTTCCCGAAACTGTCGCGGCCTATGTAGACCAAATTTCGTAGAATTTACAGTAAAACACATGGACAGTACAGATACGTTAACACAAGATAACCACTATTTGAACAATGACAACAATGAAATAAAAGAATGCATTTTTTTATGAGGGACCAAAACGTATTCTCTACTGCTATCATGATGCTTGTTTTAAAATACTGTTGATAAACCAAAAAATCTTTCAAAGCACTTTTTACAAGGTTTGTATATCTTTTCTCAGTGTTGAGTTAAAATCATCTGTGCATGTGAAAAGTCAGTAAGATTAAAAAATGCAAGATAATCAGAAGAAAAAACACTTAGATTTGCTTACCCTTCCGGAGCACGTGAGATGTTTCCCGGTGTTTGGTGTGGTTCGTGCTGCTCAGTCTCTAGTTTTCTATGTTGTGTTTTATGTACTTGTCTTTTTGTCTTTTTGTCGTTTTTCGATATTTTAATGCCATGGCATTTTGTTCTCGACTTATGAATTGAACAAACTCTAAGGTATACTCTAAAAATAAGTCTATGTACTGGTTTGTTTTGGGGGATTCTCATCAAAAGATCATAATATGGAAATAGTCCTGACTTATTGAAGGCTCTTTCAAATGAAAGTGATTGGTTATACTTATGAGTTTAGATTCCCATGACGGGTGACCCATTCAAAGCAGGAGACGCTTACCTTGTCGAAGCAACCGGTCTCGTCCGTTGGAGTTCATTCAATTCCCTGCGTTTTGGTATCTTGATTTGTTTATTTAAAATGAATTTACTAGTTTTGAACATCGGTTTACTACTGTTGTTTTTTACTTCCTCCCTTTTGTATGACAGTCACTTTAGTTCCAACTATGTATCGTCCTGAACATGCATAATATTTAACCATTGGACGTTGCTAAACAATAATCATTCAATATAATTACGTATAATGAAGACAATGTTTCAGACTGAAAACAGGATAACTGGAAATACCACCTGTTTGATTTCTTAAAGAACACACATACTTTATTATCACTTATTTTCTCATGAATAACCGTTTTAATTTTGTTGTTTTCTAATATGCCATATAAACAAAGTATACAAAAAAAAGTCAAATAAACAACCAAAGTTTCAGTTCGCTGTATTAAATGTAAAAGATCCTCAACTACAACTAGAAATCTGGTATCTGTATTGCTGAGCAACGTATTAGTCCTAATCCAATCTATAGTGCTAGTTGTATTAGTATCATTTTAACAGTTTAATAGTTTCTTCATTCTGGTACTGTTCTAACTTCACCTCCGGTATATAGGAGTGGTATGTATATAATTTTCTTCTGAGTAATATAATCATGCTAATTACATTGAACACAAGTGACAGAGTAATAACTACAGAGACCACAATGGTTCCGACAACTGAGGACGCAGACACCTTTGATTCTGTTGAAAGTCCTATAATTATATATAAAGAAATATTAAATTTTAGTAAAAAAAACAAATGCAAAGGAAGATTACACTGAATTCAGACAGTCATTTGTAAATATCGTTCATAAGGTATTTACAATATGAAACTAGGTCAGTTCACGCCCAACTTTTCAATTTTTATGTCTTTTTTCTCATAAATTTGTTGACTAGTCAAAACAAAATGTCAAATATCCCTCATATGACTTTTATTGCAAAGAGGTTGTATCTTCAAGTGTTCTTATTATACGACTAACAATTTTTACACGATTATGTTTTGCATTTCCCTTCTTGCTGCCATTTTTCACTTTTAGCTGTCGCTTATTGTATAGATCTTTATACAATACACGTTTCCAAAAAAACGGAATACTGTTTATATATTTCAAACAAAAAAATTACGAAATTCTGTTAATAAACAAGGTACTTAAAATACATATTTTTTTATACCTTTTTCTGCGGCATCTCCTAATAATGTTTTTACTGCAGATACCATTATTTGAGGCTTGATAGTTTGATTGTTGTTCGAGTCGCCACAAAAATGCATGTCATCAGCTGGTTTGGGCATGTCAGATCTTTCACCTTCTTGCAAAATCAAAGCCATCCCATCTATGTTATGTAGCTCTATGTGACAGTGCATGTACCAATAACCTAGAAAGGAGGTTTAAGACTTAACAATTGGTTTCTTCAGCGATGGAGGAACAAAAAGAACTTTATGTACACTTGATGAAAATATTTCATATGTGGCAATTTAATTGGTATATAGAAAGTAATCACATTAAAGTTCACACAGATGGGGAAATCAACAGTGAGTTGCTCACCCAATTTTGTCAATATATATAAAACCAGGTTTAACCCACCATTTTCTTCGGAAATGCCTATACCAAATCAGGAATATGGCAGTTGTTTAATAGAAAGTAATCACATTAAAGTGAACAAGGATGAGGAAATCAACTGGTTTTTTTTCCCAAATGTTAAAACAAATGATGACCGTCAAATATCTAAAAAGGATGTCAGTGGGTTGCTCATTTAATTTTGTCAATATATACGGAACTATAAACAAATGTCATACAATTGGGAGGTTTAACCCATATTTTGTTTTCTGAAAATGCTTGTACTAAGTCAGAAATAAGGCAGTTGTTTTTCACTTGTTCTGCAGGTTAATAGCGTTTGATTTTGTCAGTTTTTATGGACGACTTTCCCTTTTTTAATTTGCCTTGGAGTTCGGTATTTTTGTTATACCTTTTTTCATATGAACAACACTGATACACGCCATTAAAAAAATACCTTCTTTTCAAATTAATTCTTTATTCAGCAGAAACATATTTGAAGTCCTTCTTAACTTAAAAGTGTCGGAATATCTACCTGGATTATCAGCAAGAATGCGGACTACAGCATATGATCCCCATGGCAAAACCAATGTATCTTTGATAGCAGGATTTTTGGTGTTCATACCTGGAACATTCCCATTAGCCCATGATGGATCCGCCCATTGAGCTCTGTCACAATTTTTAGATTCACAAATTATATCCTGGTTCATTTCCGTCATGTTACCAGTTATGGGATCATATTTCGGAAATCCGATTTTCATTACATGGAATCGATGTCCATGGATATGAATTGGATGTGGTCTGCCAAAACCTTTTGTTTCTGAAAACGAAGAAAACATATTGTGCATTATCTATGTATTTTCTTTTTGGACACTCGATTACACTTTTGTATATTGTGTGAACCAATAAAAAGTCTTCAAAAAAATCTGTTATTAACACCAATTCCCCTAAATGACAAAAACATTAAAGTTTTAGCAAAAGATAATTACTGACAAGGTTTCTGTCTAGGGCAGACACTTTTAACACTAGTCGACTCGGAATCTGAATGCGTCTGTGTGCGTTGACGTATCTTCCTGTGGACTGTTATCTTGTGATATAACATGATAACAATAGTTCTGGCTCTTCACGTCGGTCTAGTACAAATATGGGTTCGTTTTCATTTCACACATTTCTCTTCATTATATGCATGTACTATTTGCAACTGGATGTTCTGAACTTATTCCCCATCCAAAGTTGATATACCGAAATTAAGTCTGATTTCACATTGGCTCCCGTTTTAATGCAACTATTGATTGACGATAACTAACTTGTTCTACATAAATCACTCTCAAAGAATGAAAAATTCCTTAGTTATAGGAAGTAATGTTTACTTGGTTTTATGCATTTAGAAATTCGGCCAGGGCTCATCTATATTATAAGATCATGATAAGTCAGTTGCCGTTAAGGAATTTTTGGCTTTGAAAATCTCTTTTAATCATTTTATCATCTATATCTAAACTTAATATGATACAAATCACCCATCAGACAAACACGCATACATACCAACATTTACTAAAACAAACTGTATTACATTTCCTAATTTTAACTCCAATATGTGATTACATTGGGATGCAAATGTGGTGATTTCTTTTGGACAAGCAGTCTCTGGTACAAAATCAGCCTCGTGCAACTGAAAAAATAAACAAACCTACATTTTGAAAATGGTAATCTTCCAATAAGTATTTTCTTTCTTATTCTTGTATCATTGTTTTAGTCTTTCCAACTTCCTCATTCAGAGCACCCCTGTTGTTCGTGTCTCTTATTAATATTTAGTTTTTTTCTGGACTATTCTTTGTTATACCCCCGCTTTAAAAAAGTGGGGGTATACTGTTTTACCTCTGTCTGTCCGTCAGTCCGTCCATCCGTATCATGAATATTTTTCGTCGCATCTTTCTCAAGAACTACATTACAAGGATTTCTGAAATTTGGTTTCAGGGTTTATATAAGTCAGCTATTCCGTGTGATGCGCTTTCAGATTCATCACTCAACAACTTCCTGTTTGCCTTATACTTTTAGCGGGCGGGGGTATCATTAGTGAGCAGTAGCTCACAGATTCACTTGTTTTACCATGTGTTGTCTGTTCTTTTGAGTTGATTACCGACTTTGCATTTGGAAATCCATTTATCTGTCTTGTATCGTGTCTACTTTTAAATACTTCCCCATTGATGTATTGAGTGGTTCTTATCCTAGGTACACATGTCATATTTGAAATTGGCCATCGTGAACAAGCAAACAAACTAATGTACAATGATGATTTGATTTTACACTGTTTACCATTGGTGGAGATGTTGGTAAAATCATCCGAAAGTTGTTGATCGTAGATACTACCATGCTTGGGTTGTCCTCTGGTACTGTATGATAAAAGATAATTTCAAGTAGAATACATTCAATAAAACAAAGAGGACAATTTAAATCAATAATTGGAATTTTAATGTGTTGAAACTATCAGCAATATTGTCACACACTACATGTGTTCGGTTTACATAAGATTCTATGAAATTTTCATACATACCGTAGGTAATAGGTTGAATCGTAGATTTTCTTTTCGTGCATTTGGATTTCAGGATATGGTCTTTCATTTAATTTTGAACAAAATATTAATATTTCATTTTTAGTTATTAACATGTTGTACAAGTTTGTGATCAATGTGATTATCTATATACTTCATACAACGATTTAGACAATTATGCCAGCAGTGAACATCAGTATTTATATGAAATTATGTTTAAATATATTTATGTTTTTTTTTTATAAATTCGTGTACTTACACGAGTAATGAAAACTAAGAAAGAATTCCTGCATATCGTTTGCACTAGACATGACTGGTACTGGATTGGTTTCTAGTTCATGTTCTTTTGATTTAAGTTTGGAAACAGGAATACAAGATGTATAATCATCTGCAGGAAAGGTTCTGGAGTGAAGTTATTGAAAGCATACTTTATAATTATATTACCAGAAAAATCAATACGAAATTGCTTTGAAACATTCTATACACATAACAACAGAGTTTGTAGAACTGTCTGCCCATCAATTATAATCAAAATTAAGAAGGAACAAAGGGAAAGAACATTATTAATGATTTTCAAACTTAAAAAATTTTGGTAGGTGGACGAAATAAAAATTGGAAAAGCTAACCCAGCTAGAATATATCCGTGGTAATCTATGACAATGATATAGCATAACAGTCAACTAAATCATGATGACTTTCTTAAAACTTTCGAAGAGATGATTTCAAATTTACTATTTAGAACCGTCAGGATTTGATTGATTGTGTTTGCCTGCGCGGAAGCTATGATACAAGGATTCAGTTGATGTCTCTTTTCGAACTTTTTACGAACGTCAATACGACAATTTTTGTTCGAGATCATCATAGATAAGATCTATTTTGTCATTGCTCATTTACAATGTATTACGTAACACCGAATGTGGCTTATCATCTGCGGATCCTGAGTTCACCTCGGGTTTCAATTTTCTGTGTAATGTTTTGAACAAGGATTTGTTTGGTGAAATCTCACTATACAAATCCTTGTTTTGAATGATATTTGTTTTTCGTCTTTTTACTTTAATCAAGTAGTTGGCAGTCATTTTTAGACCTTTGTTTTGGTTGACTTTTATCATTAACACGATTTGAACATACAAACTATCATACGCTTTATTGAAAACGTAAATCTTTCACGATTGAATGTGCACAGATGGAAAAAGTCGCCAAGACTTTGGAATATTGGGATTTTTTCTAGATTTCCATGAATGTGATTACTGTTGCATTTGCATGTGTCAGACATCTTTTTTTTCTCTTCCATACCAGTCTTATGTTTTAAGAACAATATCAACATAAAGCCATATGGATTTGATGTAGATATGCATACATATCTATGAATCGGTACTATATTGAAGAAATATTACTTTTTGTTTAATAAAAAGGATGAAATACCCGAATATACAGTTTACAACTCGGCATGGCTTTCTTTTTGTGCAAACTTTCCCTGAGCTAACAGGATCTTCCTTTGGTGCGCCATCGTATCTTAGTATTCCATATCCTACTACCATTGGTATGGGATTCTGGAGAGCAAGTAGACTAGTTAGAAATGTCATATATTATCTGAATGTGAGATTTCTTTAAATTTTAATTTCTTTTAAATATTGTTTTAATATGTTTGAATATTTCTTCTTATTTCATGAGAAAACAAACACATTTTTAATATTATAATGATTTATATGTTCTGACGACAAATGAGTCTGTTGACGTATTGCTAAGAGAGGAGAAACATGTCAAAAACAGTTAAAAGCTTAAATTTTTTTTATAGTTAATGTGACAGTGTATTTAATGCAAGACAGAGAAATTGATTTTTAACTTTTTAATACCCCTGCAATATCCTGACGTGCCAAATCTTCAAGTCTAATCCAGTAGTTCCCAACTGATGCATTGCTTAGGACTTCGACATCATATCTTTCACCAGAATGTATTATTACAAAGTCTGTCTCCTCAGGTTCAATATCAGCTCCATCAACAGCAAGGACCTTCATCTTGTGCTGCATCATAAAACATAAAATTGTCTTTAAGCAATTGTTGATTACTATTTTTCTGAAACGTAAATTAAAATGTTACAGGGTAATGACCGTTATAGCAAGGTCAATTTGTTTTATTATATATTATATTATACATCTAGGAGTATTGCATCAAATTTTTAAATCTACTTAACCGAATGAAAAGTACTGGAGGGTATGCACAAGACAAAAACAAACTTGTCATTTGGTCTCTTGTGGAGAGTTGTCTCATTGGCAATCATACCACATCTTCTTATTTTTATATTTAGCAATTTTAGAAATTAATATGTGTAAACACCTAAAAGATGGTGTATATATAGATATAAGTAAATAAGCAAACAATTTTTGAAAAAAATCTTTCATTTCTTTTTTTAGATTTCCCCGTAATAATCTAAGAACTTTTAAAATATTTGAACCAATGGTTTGAAAGCAAAGCATAAACATTTAAAGCAACCCAAAATATAGAATAAGTCTTAAAATTGTTATAAAAGAACTATTCAAAGTTACCAGGCTTGTGATTGTGTACGCCAGACGCGCGTTTCGTCTACAAAAGAATCATCATTGACGCTCGAATAAAAAAAGGTTAAAATACAAAATAAAAATACGAAGTTGAAGAGCATTAAAGAACCAAAAATTCGAAAGGTTTAAATTTGTCAAATACAGCTAGGTTAATCTATTCCTGGGGTAGAAAACGGGGACATTGTACGGATCTGAAATGTTGTTCCTGTACTCACATTATCAATAGAAATACGATAAGTACTTATTGACTGTATACCAATCATTCTAAACAGGTATTTATGTCTACTTGTAACAACAAACGTCTCCAAGGGTAGATAGTTAGCATTACCATTTGTTGCAGGTTCGTGGAATCTCCCTGAAAAATTTGAAAGAGGATTACACATTTTTAGGGGGGGTGGGGGGTGGGGGTGGCTAGGATGAAAAATTTTGTCCTGCATTTTTTTTAAGTTGTAATCTCTGTCCTGCCTTTTTTTATTAGTTCATCCCGACTTTTTTTTACATAAATTGTTAAATTGTCATCCTGCCTTTTTTTTTACTCAAAACCCCTGTCCTGCCTTTTTTTTTACTCAAAACCCCTGTCCTGCCTTTTTTTCAAAATTCATCTAGCCCCCCCCCCCTCCCCCCCCCCCCCCCATAAAAATCAAATGGTAGCTCCCTAATGTGAAAAAACAAAAAACAAATATCAGAATATTTAATACAACTGTTTTACCACAAAACTCTACTTGAAAGATACATATTTAGTTTTTCTTAATAAAGTTTCCAAATGTACCTTTTGCATTAATCAACGGAGTCTGTATACCCTTCTGTCCAATAACTGAACCGTCATATGTCTTTTTTATACCAGCACACAATTCACCATTGGCGGTATGTATGTACCTGTTACATTCAAAATAAAAACCATTCCGCTTTTATTGTCGTATTTCCCTGTATGTAAGTCCTATAGAATAAGCCTTTGTAGTTCTATGTCGTTTGCATTCAAAGCTCTTCATCGGATATATCTTTTTTCCTTTCAATCCTGAAGCACGATTTCGTTGTTAATTCGTGGTTCAGCATTGAAAGTAAAAAAAACAAATATCCGATATAAAACATTGAAAGCAAACGACATGGACCTACGAAGGCTTATTTTATAGATCTACCCTGTATGTTTGTTTTGTTTATATTTGTTTGTCACGGTCTTTCCAATTTGTAAGTGGAATTAACTTTTGTTATTGTATTGATAATAAGTTTTGTTATTCTAATACCACTTTTTTCGCTTAATTTTCGTTTCGTAAGATATCAAAAAGATATTTCTGTTACATTATATTGGACAGATAAGTACGCTTTTGACTTGACCCGCTAGGACCTCACCCTTTTCCTACACAGAGTTATCTAGTACAAAACGTTTTCTAGTTGTAACATCTTTAAACGTTAAAAATGTCGACAGCGTGTTTTTACTTTTAATTTATTTTTACATCCTTTGAATTTGTGGTTAATTTTGACCGAAACGAACCGGTGTCATCTTAAAAGAATCCGTCCAATATCGAAAGCGGTATGTTTGTATAACTCATGCTCCGTAAGTTGTAAAGACCTAGGTTCTTTTAATTGGAAATGTTTGGTCCAAAACGTATAAATTGATTAACTGCAATGTTCTTTATCTTATACATTTGCTTGTTATCGTATGTATTCTGAAACTATACTGAAAATTGAAGTACATATAGTGTAAACATTTTCGGTCATGTAGATGCATATATGATTCTTTTGATTCGAAATAAACTCGTCATAGATACGAAACGATCCTTTGACTTATTTGGAGTAATCGTCACTTAATTAATTATATCTTCGAAATGTTACCGTATAAATCAATTAGGTGGTTTTCATAGTTCTTATAACGGGAGATAATGTGAACTTGAAACAGTGAAATGAAAGTGACCTTATGGAAACAATCAGGAAGCTGTTTTTTGTACTTGTGGAAACTACGAGTAGCTAATAATCTCTCATATTCAATTATTTCATAAGCAAGAACCAAACAACCACATAATTATTTTAAAATTTCAAAATTTAAAATTCTTCTGACTCACTTGTTTAAATGCCAGTTAGACAGCTTTACTTCATGTGTAAAACCTCTTTGGAACCAGTCTTGTACGAGAAAAACAAACTCTTTTTCATTCAGTTGCACAGTGTCAGTCTAAAATGTTACCACATTATATTTACTCTTATACTTCAATATGATAAATGATATATTTCCATGTTTCGGATGTATGACAATTTTCAAGAATAACAGGAAAGTAAAATGTACATAAAGAAAATAAATGTAAAAGAGTCTCTTTAATTATGAAAAGATTTTTTAGTTCTTTTCATTGACCTCAATGTATATAAAAAGTTTATCACAATATAGTTTCCTGATTTTCCTATTTTTTAATATTTTTATCCTATACCAAAGTAATATAAATGAAAATTGAGTAAAAATAGTCAACTTTCATCATGAAAGCTAGCGCTAATTTAGGATAAACGAACATAGTTATTACATGCATACTATTTAAAAATGATGATGCATGACTGCTTAAACGTCTAGCGGTGAATTAAAATGTAATATGAAAATCAACCATGCTTTGTACTAGACCGACACGCTGAGCCGGATTTTTTACTTGCTAGATCACAAGGAAATAGTTCGCAGGAAGACATGTCTCCTTACCTGGACACATTATTCTGACTCCTGGCCGCCCAGTCTTTGCTCTTACTTCTTAATGCCGCATGGTAAGCGGAGTATTAGCAAATACCAATTTTAAAGTCTTTGGTTTGACTCAGTCAGGGTTCGAACCCACGAACTGCCACACTCGAGGCGAACACGCTACCACGATACCAACGAGGCGGTTGTGATATTTAATGAGGTGATAACTTACTGGTAACTGTGGTCTTTTTAAAATTATTAAGGCACCAGCTATTCCATCTGATCTCTGTGCCCCAAGATGTGAATGGTACCAGAATGTCCCATAAGGAAGAGCTTTAAATCTAAATATAAATTAAGAAACAGTTTAATTAATTCAATTGTTATCCAAACTCGACGCGATTTAGACCTTAACAAATGGTGTGGACTCTAGTGTATCCCCCAAAAGCCTATATTAACCTTAAACTATCTATAATTTTACTTTGCTGTTGTTGTTTGGTTGCTATCTCATTGATGTTTACCGTACCTATCCTTTTTCAAATAAAATATGAAAACGTGTATCAGTATATTCTTTTTTCATACAAAATGTTAAAAAAGTAATGCTTCAATATACTTGACTTGCTAACGTGTACGTCATCTGGTCTCTATGGAGAGTTGTCTCATTGGAAATCATATATACATGTACCACATCTCCTCTTTTTAATATTTATAAGTTCAAGAATATTTATAAGTTCCAGAGCCAATATACATTTAATTCGTTGATAAGTAAAATTATGTGTTTGCCCATAATATATACACATGTATTACCTGTAAGTGAAAGTTTCTCCTGGATTGATAGGGCACTGTGTAACTCTAGCCACACCATCCATGAAAGGGGAACCTTTCTGAAGCAGACCATGCCAATGAATAGACACTCCTTCCATCAGTAATTTATTGTGAACATGCACTACAATCTAAACACAAGAAATATAAATCTTTAAAAAAATAATTATGGAGACAATTATGTTGCATGACAAAATAGTATGTTTGAGAATGGCGTCTTCGTGTTGAAGTGTTACCGTCTCGTGCCCCTACTCTTTTTTTTATATAATATACCATCCATTTTATGGTTTTTAATAATTTATTAATATCTAAATACTTTGAGTTCTTATATCTTAGAATCTATATATAGTCTAACTTAATTCTATATGATTATTTGCAGAAAGAATTGGGTGATTATTTTAGAACTATACTGAAAAAGTGTATACATTTTGGAAAATTAAAAAATATATATAAATTAATAAATATACCATTGGATCAACATTTTGTTTTCTTTTTTCGGTAAAATTGGACGTAAGTAGTGTTAACTTATGACATATATCATAGATTTAAGTCACGTTTTCAGTTTTTACATATGTATTTGACAAACCAGGTACTCGTTCTATCATGTGGTAGAATATTAGTTCCTTGTGAAAGATCTGTAAATCACTGTCATTCAGCTTGAGTTAAATGATTTTTGTTGTTGACATGACAGTCATTATAAGTCAATGAAATACAACAAAGCGGTCGCAATATCACAATGCATCGATACTTTTTTCTTAAGATATTGTTATCTAAAGCAATGGTACCAACAACATAATATGTCATTTGAACCATACAAGCGAGGCATTTACCCCAACAGTATTGTTTTGATTATTAAAGATGATTACCTGGAATTAGATTATCATAATAATATCACATTATCTAATAACACAAATGACACATACCGACAATGACAGTGCAAAAACCGAAAACGACGAAAAGACAAACATCCGTCTACAAACTTTCACATAGAAAACTAAAGACTGAGCAACACGATCTCCGGGGATTATCATTGGTGCTCCGGAAGGGTAAGCAGATCCTGCACTTATGTTTCACCAGACGTATTGCTTATATAAGTACAAGTTAGGCGATAAGTCTCATTCCGTGATGTCACATTCGAGGAAAAGAGGACGGGATTGTGGTTACGACAGTTGAAACATATGCGTGGTCATCTATGAAACAGATATTCAATAACGTTGATAAATTCTGTTTACTTAGATACTTCGTAGTATAACTAGAAATCAAGTTTTTTCTACTGTTTATATTTGAGGAGACTTAGAAATAAATGGATAGTGAAATTCGTCTTCTATATTTCCATTGAATACATTGCATCTTAGTTCCTCAATAGGAATATTATACAACACCCATTTTAGATAGGAATCTTTAAGATAGAGGTTCTTAATTATGTTATTCAGATTCTTGCGTTATCTGGAATCTAAATCAAATAATTTTCAAAGCAAACTTTTTTATAAACTTGACTAGAAAACATATTCCTCGGGAAGATTATTAAACATAATGATGCCATTTTCAAATATACTCAAATATACTGGTCTTGTAATTATCATTTTGATTTGCAAACACATATCCAAAATCTGTATAATTAAATATTGATTCTACAAATTGTTGAAGGCCGTACACTGCCCTGTAGATGTTTACACCCTTGTCGCGTCCTTTGGTCTCTGGTGAATAGTTGTTTCATTAGAAATTATACCACATCTCCATATTTTATGTTTTTTTTAATGTATGCCCACTTCACTCTAGTTATTCATTCCGGTTTTTGGAGACGCAGAACTAGTTTAAATTTAAAAAAAAATGTGTACTGGTGTTTATTATAAAGTGGAAATGTTCATTTAATGGAGAAAAAGAATTATGTTATAATAATATTACCTGTTGACCTTCGTATACGACAATTGAAGGTCCTGGAACTTGGTCGTTAATTGCAAACATAAACTTTAGGTGTCCATCGCCGGATACGAAATAGTCATCATCAGTAACTGATAACAAGACAGAACAATCGTTAAAACATTTTTTAAAAAAAGTATGAGGCTTACAGAATTGTTACGCTTTAACCTGTTATTGTAGTCCCTTGATTGGAAAGAGGTAGGACCAATTTTCGTTGTTTTGATTTAACTCACGGGGTCAAATTATAAAAGTTGTCAACCCCTGCTAGAATTTGAATATTCAAGAGTCTATTTCATATGCTTATAAAAATGTCTACAATTTTACATATCTGTTCATAAAATCTAAATGCGATATACAACACTGCATGCTGTTGTTGGGGGATAACATTGCAAAAATTACATGTTTTTGTAAAATTGTGCACTTAAAGTCATCCCTAACCAAAATTGAAATTATTCATTGTACCCGAAATACAACATAGTTTTACTTCCAACAGAATTTTGATTTTGGTTAAAAATGGTTTTTTTTAACATTTTCTTTGAATTACCAATTTTTTTTAAAAATTGCGGTTTTCTTTTTTAGCCATGGCGTTGTCAGTTTATTTTTTACTTATGAGTTTGAATGTCCCTTTGGCATCTTTCACCTCTCTTTTAAGGACTATCTTCCTGTGTTCATAATTTTGTCATAATTATGTTTGAAAACAAGCCATACTATCGTTAGAAGATCAAAGTACGCACTTTGAGCTGTGATACTGTGGATTTAAGGTGGTACATAACACTACAGGGAGATAACTCTTTAAAAATCAGCTGAACGTTTTAATCACGTTCTATTGTTAAGAAAGTATTAAGCTTCTCAATGATCAAAATTAGTGTTTGTCAAACTGCTATATATTCCATAAAATTTTTCCGATAAAGTGTGTGGTTCAGGTATTTTGAATTTTTTATATTTTTGTCAAAGGGTCAAAGTAAATATTTTGTCAAAATTTTATGAAAATTAAATGAGCCAAATTAATTTAAGTCAAGATGTTTGGTACCACCTTAAGTTAAGATTGAAATACTTTTTGACAGAGGCCTTCGTATGAAATAAATGCAAGGGACATTGGAACTACTTCCATCTTTAAAATCGTTTGATTCCAATTTCCGTGCTTACAATTAAATAATGTATGAACCTTTTTGTTTTGGGTATTTATTTGTATTGTTTGAAATGAATTAACAGAATCATAGGATACATAGATATAAGAAGATGTGGTATGAGTGCCAATGAGACAACTCTCCATCCAAGTCAAAATTTATAAAAGTAAACCATGTACATATTATTTGTAAATTGTTGTAAATTGTTGATAAAACGATACCTTCTCGAACATTTTCCAGTGATCCACAGTTAGTCCTAACATAAAGTGTGCCATTGACATTTTCTACTGGCGCTCTTGAGCCTTTTCCGTTTGGTGGGATTATTGTCATTGTTTGGAAGTATGCAACTGTCCAATGAAACTCACAAATTTCTTCATCAGGCTGACAACTTGGTTTGATGACGTTATCAAAGCAATAGATTTTGGTAAATACTATACAGATGATTTTCAATCTCATTATTTGATAACCAGTCATTTTTCAACGCCCCTTAAATAATGAAAAAAAAAAACAACAAAAATCATGCATTCAGAGGTAAAAGGAATGGCTCACATTCTTAATAAAATACTTTTTTGTATCTGATGAATGTCTGATTTTTTAAAATGCATATCAGGACGAGAACATGTAAAAAAAACTCTTTATATATACCAGACTTATAATTTTGTACGCCAGACGCGCGTTCCGTCTTCAAAAGACAAATGGTGTAAAGATTATAAAGTTATTCATAAACTGCTTTGACTTATTAAAAATTTTTCAGTAAAAAGCGTATGTGAAAAACAATTTGTTATCAAGTTATTAGGAATGTTATCAATTTACAGAAAAGTCTGCTTTTACACTGTTTCAACCCTTTAACAATAATATCTCTTTTTGTTAAACAAGTTCTTGAAAATATTCTCTCTAATGTTGAGCAAAGGTATCTCAATATGTTTTTTCTCTTCAATACAATAAGTCATTCTTGAAAATAAGTCGTTTAATTGTTTTGCTGTCCTTTCATCTCAAAAGCTTTGTTGAAATAGCACGGTTAAAATCCCACGTAGTGACTGCATTCTTCTTTCATCAACATGTATGAGACGAAAGTAATGTGCTATTTTAGCTGATATATTAATATGAGATTTATATATAAAAAGAAAGTATTGCCTCGTTATCTCAACTTGAAAATATTTGCGAAGGCGATTATCGTATTGAATAAATAAAATATTGTGCTGATATACCCACACGCATTTAGATTGCTAGAAAAAGTAGAGATTTTGCCTTTCCTATCTTGTTTTGTCATTATCACAGATTTTCATTAATCTTGGAATTTATTTATAAAACAATAAGGAGTTAAGGTATGAGCCAATGAGACAACTATCCACCAAAGACCAAGTGACGAGGATATAAACAACAATACGACAATGTACGGCCTTCAGCAATAAACAACACACATACCGTATATAGTAAGCTATAAAAATGACAAAATGTGATACAATTCAAATGAGAAAACCAACGACCTAATTTATGCTAGAAAACTGTTACAATAAACGCAAAAACAAATATAACATACAGAAACTAACGACAACCACTGAATTACAGACTCATGATGAATGTGGTGGGGTTGACGTTTTTTTGAGTGCTCAACTCTACTTCTAAACTAGGACATAGGTGTAGCAGCACAACATAAGAACAATTGATAAAAATCAGTTGAAAAGACTATGACTGGCACTAAGCACACAGAAAAAAACCTAAAAAAAAAGGAAAAACAAAACAAAACAAACAAGGTACTAAGAATTCTCGCAACTACTGAAAGCTAGTTTAATCATATTCCAACTAATAAATAAATAGATAATATTAATCCAGATAAGATATCAATCATTACACATCCAAAGTGTTTAGTACGAAGACGTCATAAACAGTTTTGAGAAAATCATGACCTTGTGCAATACCAAAATATAAGTAACGACATGATGTAGGACCAAAAGTGTTCCGAACTGTATAACCATACATACTTTAAGTAAGTTATGTTTTAATTTAATAAAAACAAAATCAATTTTAGCACAGATGAAGGCAATATTAGTGAATCCTAATATTTTGTTTTTCTTAATAAAACAAACTTTAGCAATTAACAAAAATACAAAAAAAGGAATAAACATACCCGAGAGAAAAACACAACTCCGTCTCAAATATATTTTTTGTCTGAAAGGTGTCTTCACAAAAGATAAATCAATCATTAGTAAACTATACCCCAGTTCAAAGTAATTATGGTATTTACCTTAACATTGATGAGTTAACTGTACACTGCCGTTACTGAGCAATGGGGAGTCTTTTGCCGATTTCATTCAGACAATGAATTAAAAAATGTATGTATTTACGTTGACTGACACTTACAAATGTCATCACCAACGGAAGTTTACTTTTATAGTAAGCAAAATACAGAGGTCATAAGATCATAGTCCTTCAATAGTTAGAATATTATTAATGGTTAGGGCAATCGACAATTGTACCTGCACCTTCATAGTGACTTTTCCAGAAATTTCATTTACGTTATAGTTTCTTCTATGTGCTCTATTGGACGTTTTAATTTTTCTCATAGAGTAAATTTATTTTTCATATGATATTGTTATCATTACGTGATTTTAGAGTTCAAAATGTTCCCACCATTTAAAAAGACCCAAGAGATTTGTTTTTTGATCTGCATTTAAAAACAGTTACATATGTATCCGTGCGGTTCCTTTGAATTGAAGTTTTTTTTAACAAGTGTTGTAAGTGAACATGTACATCAAACTATATTTCTAAATACAAGAGGCAGGGTCATAAACTATCTCCAGTTTCACTCAATATTGATAAGTATGTATTGAACATCTTTACAGATGTGTATAAAAGATATTTTTGTAATTGAGGATTACTGAGAAATAGTATTGTTATCTAGTCTGAAAGAAATTCCTTTAGCTGTCGTTTGGTTACTGTGTTGTTTGGTTGCTGTCTTTTTGACATATAGCCCTGATTTCGTTTTGTTCATACATAAAACCGTCTTAAGTCAAGGTTGTCTGAGGGCGAAGATAATATCATGGTTACGAAAAAAAGACGAACAGACTATAAACTACTCAGAATACTAAAGATCGAGTAGCATGAATTCCGCAAATATCCATGGGTAATCTCAGACTCTCCGGAATTTCAGAGATTCTGGAATGGTCAATTGTTCCTGCTACATTAACCCGTCGTGTAACTTCTGTTAAAATTCATTGATGAGTTATATCCGGTGATAAGGGATAATACGGTAGAAGATTGGTAAATGTGTAACCTTACGAAATCACCAAATCCATAAAACATCGGTACATGGAAATTATTAAATCCTATAATTTTGTCAACAGCGCTGAAAACATTTTTTTTTCCAGAAAAGGGGAAGACAAGAACGTTACCGGTAAACACACATAGCATTCAGAACTGAAAACTAAAGGAAAAACTAAGAGTGATTTCAGGTGCTGATTTCGGGTGCTCCCGAATCGTAAATAGTGCCTGTCCTACTAGTGGCACAGTCATACTCCGCATGGATAGTAAAAATTAGGCGATAATCGCATTTTACATTAAATTATTGTAGCTACTACAAGTGGAACATTCAAAAGTAATATTAAAGGCTTAACATGCTACCATTTCAATTTTAAAGTGAATAATGTTTGGTTCGTTTGCTAAAATAACACTGTATACTTTGAAAATTATATTTTGAAATTGATGAAGTACCAGCAATAGTTTAACATGGAGAAAAATCTACTATTATTTTAAAAATAAAAAAGACTCGTCTCGGTGGCCTTATTGTCGTGTGATCACATTTTTGTCAAACTGTTTTGTGTACGACCACTAAGGAATCTGTTCGGATTTCTTTGAAATTGGTATTTCGTGTTTCTCAAAGCAAATCACAGTAAGGAGTAAGGGTAGACTTGTCGGCTAAGAGTCAAAACAATGGGTTTATGGTGTTACATAGGGACTGTTGTGTCGGTCTAGTATAAAGCAGGGTTCATATTTATAAACCACAAAAGCATGTAATTGAAATGAATAAGAAACAATATTTGCCGCTGGACAACAAAGATGACACCACTTTTCTATGGTGTTACTTTTGAAATGAGCAAAACAGATTTTGGAGGTTGTTTTAATTTTCACACAAGTTCTAAATTACTTAACAGTTAAATAAACCTCGACGCAATGTGAATATCACTAACATGGTGTTATCTGTTGGCTGCAATAAAATTTCCAACTATGCTTTCGATAAAATGTTTGTTGACCGCTCACAATCTTAAACTCGCTCTTTATCGGTTTATCTGTTTGAAAGCTTAGTTTCAACCTCAATCTTCAATTCGTTTGACGTATTTTTTTTTACGTCTGAAGCAATTGAAATGAATTCCGGTTTTTATACGAAATCATATATTAAAAGGTGTGATGCTTATACTGTCAGTGCTCTGACATCTGTTGTCCAGATCAAAAACAATATATGTCTAACCTGATCAAGGTCAATACTTTTATGATAAATATATGTAATTTTTGGATTTTTTATTATCAAATACAAATTGAATGTAACAAATATATAAAATATTTTATTTAAGGTAACCATGACAATAACAAAAAAACCGAAACAATGACCAAAGTAATAAATATAATAATTATGAAAGAAGTTCCAGGACGGCATTTGTAAGACTGGCATGATTAATTGATAAGAAAAATTTAAAGTTCATGACAATGAAACTGCAAAAGCAATACTTAGGTTCAGGTGTCCGTATAATATTAAAAATAATGACCTTATTATAGAGTACCCATAGATCCCCTCCCCCGATAAGAGAATTTTTTTTTTTATTATTCAAAGCAGAATGATTGCATAAATAAGAAATCAACAATTTATGAGTATTCAAGTACATGAAATAAATGCATATATCGGAATTAATCACAAGTGATAACAATTATTACAAAAATAAAACAATAATACACTGTTAAAAGTATACATATTTTGTAACGTTTTTAACATCTCTTGTTAGGAGGCGACCCTTTGATATTCTGGAGGAAGCCAGGAGGATTTTTTGCGGATTCACCATTCATTTTCATCTGTTGCTATGCATGATTATTTTTCACTTTTTTATACATTTGTTTCCTACATTTAGTGTTGCAAAATATTCCTTTTAATCCTGTCTTGGGCAACGTTATTTATTTTCAGCTCATACCAGGCCAGCATATTTATTTTAAAAATCCTCATCCCCCACCCCTACTAAAATCAAATGTTCATCCCTTTACTAAAGTTATATAAGATCAATTACTACAGGAAGTGAAATTGGAACGACATCATGGTTTTTCTTGCATAATAGGGGTTCTTATAAAGTCAACGCACTTGATTTCACTCCGTTTGGACATCATCTATTTTCATTCCGATCTGTTCTTCAAAATATTCAATAAGTAACTTCCGTAGGAATATGTTCCTTCTAACATACGGATTGATAAGGTGATTATGATGAACATGTATTCATAGAGTGTTTCAATATTAATAGGTTCAAAAATGTATAAATCCGTTATGGCATGTATTTTAATTCTTTGAAGTGAGACGTAAAAGCTGTCTAGACTCTAAATGGCATTACATTTCCGGTACTCGTACATAGAAGATAAAGATGGTGCGTATAGGAATATGTAAAAGCATAAACATGTAATTTTCTGTCAAAATTTCAGGCTGGTGCGCCTTTGAAATAGCTGTTGAAAGTAGATCTTTATTAAGTTGTATTAAACTGAACTTAATGTATTCGGCTATCAATATGGAACTTTGACACAATTAGTAAAAGTGACCATTACAGTATAATTCATGATAATACTGGTATCAATTAACATAGTAACTAGTAAAACAGATATTTTAAAAACATATAACATCTTTCGAAAAAAAATTTGAGCCTTAACATCTAATAAAACATATGTCTTTGATGTAACGAATATAAACCGTTGTTGACAATACGAAAAATGCCTACATATATTATCGATGTTAGTTAAGATTCATTCTGTGACGTAAGTCACGAAAAAGACGACGATGAAGAAGAAGGAAGAAAAGTTCACATTTGCTCACCTTATCATCTTAAACATGCTAACTAAAATGCAGAGGGTAGCGAAGAATAAGTCATATGTATCACAGATAAAACAACTTGTGATTGTCGTTTGTAGTAAACATTGAAACAAACCAGGCAATGCTTGGATAATCATCAGTTAAAGCACTATGATGAAAGCACCTTTAAATATGATCTCTCTGTAATCGAAACGTTCTCGAAACTAAGTGTCAGTTTTCTGGATGTTCGACGTCCGGCATTTCATCGTGTATTCGAACCTTATGCCCCGTTTCTGAATTAAAGAAACTAACACTATGAAACTTTTCTTTAAGTTGACTTGGTCGATTCTGAAAAATATAAGAGGCTAAAATAAATTTATATTATAATAAGTGAAATGAAAAAAAATCAAGTCTGATTTCTAAGTTTAGAGGGTAATAGACATCAAGCCTGATTTCTTAGTTTAGAGGGTAATTATCGAAAAAAAATTCCAACATTTTCAAATCTATTGTGACAATGCGTCAATTTCTTTATAGGTGTAATACCACAATTGATTTTCCCCTATTAGTCTTTGTTAAATTTGCACTTTTCAAAAAATTGTGCAGAATTTATCTTTGTTTCAAATAAAGAAATACTTGGCATGAGTAAAGTTTGATCCTGTCCAGTACTATAGAAAAAATTTCACATAACATTTCATTGCATATAAGACAATAACCATCACTGGAAGTTAACCAATCAAATTTTCCCCCTTTTTTAACCTGTGTACAAGCTTTAGTAACCATGTAACCTCAAGTTTCCAAAATATTCTATAGAAACCCCAAATAAAAAAATAATGGTGCTGTGAAATACCAGACTCAAGCTAGCGAACACTAAGACAGCGAACAATAAGATGCATCAAGCTAGCGAACAATAAGCCAGCGAACAATAAGAAAACGCGCCAACAAGATCATGCCTAAAAACCGAAGACTTGCAATAACACAAAACGTCCTTTTAATTCTAATGAAACTAATTTCCAGGAGAACGAAATGCAATTCCATTTTAACACAGACAAAGTTAATTAGTTATTCGTGTATCTAATACAACTGTTTTTTAACCGGACATCTAAAATTCCTATTAGGTAATCCTTTCTCTTTTTAGTGCTGTCTGATTAGAGATGGGTTTGTTGTTTTTATAATAATGAAACTAAACTAGTGTACATGTAACGATACAAATAAATCTTCTACTTTACATATGCGTTTGAAAAGAAAAGAAAAATAAATCATCTGATTTTGGAACGTCCAGTATTTTTTGTTAGATTTTCTTTAGAAATAAAAGCATTATACGCAGTTTTCTTCTTTTGTCAAAGAACTAGTTCATTTTTCTAATTATTCAAAAGTATGTCGTCACTCTGGTAATGTATTTACTTTATTTCGAAAGGAAGAGTGATAAGTGTAAGAGAGGCACCCAAATAGAACGAAAAAAGAATTGACATAAAGATTTTGGTCCAAAGTTGGGGTAGGGTGACCCTACCACCATCCAATTTTAATTCATAAAAAAGTCCCTACGGCAAAGCTTTTGTCCACACTAGGTACAAATGATAGGCAATTGCCTAAGGTTGCCTGGACCCAAAGACCCAGGTGGGTAAAGTTACGGAACTTTTTTAATTGAGGTCCAAAGTTGGGGTAGGGTGACCCTACCACCATCCAATTTTAATTCATAAAAAAGTCCCTACATCAAAACTTTTGTCCACACTAGGTACAAATGATAAACAATTGCCTAAGGTTGCCTGGACCCAAAGACCCAGGTGAGTTAAGTTATGGAACTTGTTTAACTGAGGTCCAAAGTTGGGGTAGGGTGACCCTACCCCACCCAATTTTAATTCATAAAAAAGTCACTACGGCAAAGCTTTTGTCCACACTAGGTACAAATGATAGGCAATTGCCTAAGGTTGCCTGGACCCAAAGACCTAGGTGGGTAAAGTTACGGACTTTTATTATTGAGGTCCAAAGTTGGGATATGGTGACCCAACCCCCTCCCTTCTTTAATTCATAAAAAATACCCTACGGCAAAGCTTTTGTCCACACTAGGTACAAATGATAGGCAATTGCCTAAGGTTCCCTGGACCTAAAGACCCAGGTGGGTAAAGTTACGGAACTTTTTTAATTGAGGTCCAAAGTTGGGGTAGGGTGACCCAACCCCCTCCCTTCTTTAATTCATAAAAAAGTCCCTGAGGCAAAGCTTTTGTCCACACTAGGTACAAATGATAGGCAATTGCCTAAGGTTCCCTGGACCCAAAGACCCAGGTGGGTAAAGTTACGGAACTTTTTTAATTGAGGTCCAAAGTTGGGGTAGGGTGACCCTACCACCACCCAATATTAATTCATAAAAAAGTCCCTACGGCAAAGCTTTTGTCAACACTAGGTACAAATGATAAGCAATTGCCTAAGGTTGCCTGGACCCAAAGACCCAGGTGGGTAAAGTTACGGAACTTTTATAATTGAGGTCCAAAGTTGGGATATGGTGACCCAACCCCCTTCCTTTCTTTAATTCATAAAAAAATACCCTACGGCAAAGCTTTTGTCCACACTAGGTACAAATGATAGGCAATTGCCTAAGGTTGCCTGGACCTAAAGACCTAGGTGGGTAAAGTTACGGACTTTTATTATTGAGGTCCAAAGTTGGGATATGGTGACCCAACTCCCTCCCTTCTTTAATTCATAAAAAATACCCTACGGCAAAGCTTTTGTCCACACTAGGTACAAATGATAGGCAATTGCCTAAGGTTGCCTGGACCTAAAGACCCAGGTGGGTAAAGTTACGGAACTTTTTTAATTGAGGTTCAAAGTTGGGGTAGGGTGACCCAACCCCCTCCCTTCTTTAATTCATAAAAAAGTCCCTACGGCAAAGCTTTTGTCAACACTAGGTACAAATGATAGGCAATTGCCTAAGGTTGCCTGGACCCAAAGACCCAGGTGGGTAAAGTTACGGAACTTTTTAGATTGAGGTCCAAAGTTGGGGTAGGGTGACCCTACCACCACCAAATTTTAATTCATAAAAAAGTCCCTACGGCAAAGCTTTTTTCCACACTAGGTACAAATGATAGGCAATTGCCTAAGGTTGCCTGGACCCAAAGACCCAGGTGGGTAAAGTTACGGAACTTTTTAGATTGAGGTCCAAAGTTGGGGTAGGGAGACCCAAACCCCACCCAATTTTAATTCATAAAAAAGTCCCTACGGCAAAGCTTTTGTCCACACTAGGTATAAATGATAGGCAATTGCCTAAGGTTCCCTGGACCCAAAGACCCAGGTGGGTAAAGTTACGGAACTTTTATAATTAAGGTCCAAAGTTGGGACATGGTGACCCAACCCCCTCCCTTCTTTAATTCATTAAAAATTTCTTACGGCAAAGCTTTTGTCCACACTAGGTACAAAAGTGTTGGTTCGAACGCCCCTAAGCGTTGGTGTGAACGTCCCATAGCGTTGGTTCGATCGCCCTTAAACGTTGGGTCGATCGCCCTTAAGCGTTAGGAGAAACGCTCCCAAGGTTCAGACGCCTTTCCCAATCGCTAGGGGTATCGACCGTATCCACTACGGCCCCCTTTTTCTTTGCAAGATTAAAGTGTCTACCACATAGGTCTTTACCAGGGCGGCATGGGTATGTGCACTGATGGCATCGAATCGTCTTGGTAGGGCATTGGGGTTGAGGAAAGCGCTCCACCTTACCATACAGACGGCCAGAGTTCCATGCGTCGAAATCACCTCCACTGCTATCGATCGGGCGGATGATTGTTACACCGCATTTCCAACAAATACTTGTCATATCGACTGAGTCCCAATCGTGCTTGCATTCAGGGGGTGGTCGTGAGGGCTTGGGAGCATTCTCAAACTCCCGATCCAAGTCCCGTTGATTCTCCAGGAAAAATTCCTGCAAGTGATCCATTTTTTTTTTTTATTTTATAACTCATAGAACTCATCTAATTTGCATCGGTATTTCCCTGCTGACTCGGGGCTTGTGAGATCGATGGTTACAAATCCATAGAGTTGGGACCAGCAATGCTTACACAGAGCGTCAAATTGTTCCTTGGTAAGATCGTTGCAGTGATCGCGCCGAATATGGTCGAGATTCTTTGCGTCCTGCTGGAAGAGGCAGAGGAAGTTTGCATTTTCTCGGATCGATTGTCGGGGTAGTTTGAAGTAGTTCTGACACAGGTAGAAACAATCGACGTTGTTGTGGCGACCGCGCACGTAGTAGTCTTCACACGTGTTCTGTTTGCTCAGCATCAAGTCGTCAAACACCATGAGGTTTTTGCGGCTGGGATCGAGTTCCCGGGGGTCTGGTACATCGCTCGCTTGCTCGAAGAAAAAAGTGTCGATACCACTCGGGTGTCGTGGTGGTGGTAAGGCGTCAACCACATCGATCAACGAGTAGGGTGACTTGATCTTGCACTGTAGGAGGTCTCGAATATCTTCCTTAGGGAAGCTTTTCCCAGCGCTTGCTGCAACAGCTGGTAGAAGACGTACAATCGATCGTAGTCGAGCCATCCATCGCGCAGGAGTAGGTTGTTCAACAGCGTTGTTTTACCACAGTCCGACTTCCCAATGATCAACCCTCTGATCGACTGCTGCGGAAGGAGGTAGTGATTGCTCCTCTTGGGGGCTTTGGCACTGTAGGAAATGTCTTCGACGTTCATTTATTTAAATAAAATAACGATGATCTTCTGCGTAAAATGTCGTAGGAAGACGGACACAGTTAACCCTGGCGAAACAATTACCAGCAACGGGCGACGGAGGAAGTTTGGCAACTGCAAGGTGTGCGGTGCCAAGAAGTCTCAGTTTGTTGCTACAACCGGTGCAGGGTTCAAGAACAAGCCAATCAACCGATTACCCATGGAAATGCATCTGCCCGAACACAACTTCACCGGGCCAGGGACTAAACTTAGCAAGCGACTACTCCCCGATGCCACCCCGAAGGCTTGGTCAAAACCCATTAATCGAGTGGACCAGGCTGCATATCACCACGATCTTTGTTATGCCCAGCACAAGGATACAACCGCACGCAACTCCATCTGTGACAAAGCTATGCTAGCCTCGCTTAACACCATTCCCAACCCTACCACACGCGAACGCATGGACCGCAGCATCGTCGGACCCATCATCGGTACCAAAGCTCGATTCGGTCTGGGTGTTAAAAAAAAAGTTCGCTAGACCGATGATTTAGCTGAGGAGTTGCACAAACCAGTTCGACGTAAGTTTCAAAAACGCCGTGTGGTAGTGGGTGGTGTTGATGAGACCTGGGCGGCCGACCTTGTTGATATGAGTGCCTTTTCTAGGGACAACAAGGGAAATAAGTTCATCCTGAGCATCATCGATGT